CACTGCCTCTTAGAGAATAAGGTGTGTGCCCAAAGGCAGGAGATAGCTAAGGTAATGTCTATCTTTACAAAGAGGAAATAAGTCCAGAAACCATAAATAAGGAACTCAGGATTTGTCCTGATCACATTTCAGAGTTTGTTTTTAAAGAGATGATTTGGTAGAGGTAGATCAGCAGCAAGTGAATTTGCTGAGAACCCAGCCTGCTGGGGGAAGCTTATTCACTTTTCCGATTAGTTTTCTAGACTAGAAAGTAGGTTGGGGGTGGCAGAGCAGAAGACTGTAGTTCTGAGTCTGATGAGTGGGCTGCCATTGGCTGCATCCCGCTCCACATGTTTATGAGTGGGCTGTTGAGGAAGGATGTGGAGAGCTGGTGACATTGCTGATGGCAGGAACCTGGGCACCATCCCAACAGGCAAGATGGCAGAATGGGGACCCAAAATGCCCTGGAGGCTGGATTCCAGGTCCAAGTCTAGTAGGTACAATTTAACAGGGATGAAGGAGAAATCTATTTTGGCCTCCAGTCCTGCCTATACCCGGGAGCGAGACAAGGGAATCAGAGCTGTCTGAGGGGTTCCGATTGACTAGAAGCTTGGGTCTGGCCCCATGATTTAGGTTTTAAGAAAATGCTTGCATCTTGGGGCTGCAAGAGCTCAGAGCAGAGTCCAGCACAGGGGAAGGAAAGCCCTGCTGTTCTGAGTCTCAGACTCTAAGAGGAAGGTTCCTTCATTTGTTCATTTGTTTGGTGGACTGGGGCTGAGTGTCTTTCCTCTGGTAACACTGCACCAGATATTACCCTGGAATGGCTGAGCAGGTTGCATTTCAGGATGATGGATAAAGCTGCTGAAAGGACTCAGACCATGGGCGGGCCACCTCTGTCTTCCTTTCTTCCTTCTCCCTGCTCTGGGTCAGGCCTTGGTGTTACAGGGTCTCGTGGTAAGGCAGATAAGGATTCTGCCTCCATGGGGCACATATTCTAGTGGGAGATAGACCATAGACACATAGACAAGAGAATTTCCTATGACGACCAGGGTGCTGAAGGTGCTAAAACAGGGCATCAAGAAAGGGGGACCAGTGTGTGTGTGGGGGGGACTTTGGATGAGGTGGAAGGCCTGTCTGAGCAGCTGAGTCCTGAAGGATGCAAGGGTAGCCATATGGAGAAGCTGCTGGTGGATAGGGGAAGGGGACACAGGAGATGGGATGGAAGAGAATTGCAGGGGCGGGGAACAGCAAGGACAAGGCCCTGAGTATATTCTAGAAGCAGAAAGCCATTGTGGCCAGAGCAGAATGATGCTGTGGTCAACAGACAGAAGGGAGGCAGATTTCCATGAAGCTAAAGAATGGCTTTTAGCACTTAGATTTGCCTGAGGACAGCATGGGCTGCCCCCTGAGGGAGTGAGCTTCTCATCCCTGAGGTGTACAAGCCGTATTCCAGAGGCCGCCTGGTGTGCGGGTTACCAAGGAAAGGACTCAGGCATCCCAAAGGCTGCCTAGAGGACCCCTTCAAGTTCGGGAGCGTCCTTGGTTTGGCAGAAGCTGGGAGGAAGTCTGTGGAGTGAACGAGCGAAACCCGGCTGCCAGGTACAAAGCAGGGGCAGCTTCAGGGCTTTGGCCGTCCCAGAGGCCTCCTGCCTCCAAGTCCAGAAAACACTGTACCTCCTCCCTAGGCTCACCCCACACAGAGCTGGAGAGAGCCTCGGAGTGTCCACCTCAATAGACCAGGAACCCAGGGATCTTTCCACACCTCCCCTCCCCACCGCTCCGGGGCCCCATGTTCCAGAAACTTCCGTGGGCTGGTGGGCTGTTACCTCCTCTCCCCCGGGTCCCTTGGGCGCGCCCGCCCCTCCTCGCGCCTTTGTTCCCGAGAAGCCACCTCGAGAAGCTGGCTAGCGCCGGCGATGAAAAGCTTCCCTCGTGCGGGCTCGGCACTCGGGACCCGCCGCAGCTCCCCCCGCCCCGGCCCCCCCTTCAGCAGCTGCGCGGCGGCGGCGCTGGGCTAGCCGGGCGCCGCCAGGACCCGGGCGCGGGCGGAGCAGGCCGGGCGCGCCCCTAGCAGGCGGGCGCGCGGCTCGGGCGGCGGGGGGCGCGCCCGCCAGGTGTGCGGGCTGCCGCCGGGCGCGGAGAGCGCAGCTTTGTGCGTTCGCAGCACCCGGCCGGCCGTGCGCGTGTGCGGCGGCAGTGACGGCGCACGCGGCTGGGCGGGCTGCGAGGGAAGCCCGCCGCCGGGAGGGGGCTCGGGTCCGGATGGAGGCGGGAGGACGCCGCCGTTGCGGGCGCACGGGCGGGGTGAGCCACCGCCGCTGACTGTTGACATCCTGTCCGCGTCGAGGAGTGAGCTCTGGGCGCCGTGCGTCGGAGAAGGTCGGTGGGTCCTGGGCTGGGTGGGGATTCCATGAACAGCCTGGATCGGGGCGCGAGTCCTGGGTGTGACTGAGCGTGGAACCGGGGTGTCTGTTGCGAGTGTAAAATGCGTGTGTTTGCAAAGAGAAATGCAGCCCGTACGTGTGTGAGCTCTGTGCTCCGATTGCACAGGGCATTTAAGCGTAATGGGCTCTATTTGGCAGATGGGGTGACTGTCCTCAGCAGTCCATGCGGGTGGGGCGTTGCGCACACACATCACGTTTCGGGTGTGTGTGTGTGCCTGAGGCAGACGTTGCTCAGCCCTTGTCAAAGTCTTTGGCTAGAGAAGCTGACCGAGGTGGAGGTCAGAGGTGGGGCGTTTACAGGTGGTGGCAGAAGGAAACAGCCAGGAACCCCAGGAGGACCCTGTGGCTAGTCTGGGTTAGTTTTTTTTTTTTTTTCCTTTCCCCTTCAAAGGGCATAAACCCCACCCCATCGTCACTCCAACCTGTGCCTGTTGCGGAGAGGGCGGCCAGGATGGCGGGGTGCTGGCAGAGAGGCCTTGATGGACCTCAGGGGCAGGGCCAGCCACCAGGCTGCTCCTCATTTCTGGAGGCCCTGGGTGGGGGCGTGTGGGAGAGCCAGCCTTGGGTGGGGGGCTAGGGCAGGTGTGTGTTCAGGGGACCTCAGGACTGCGTAGAGTCCACTTGGTTTTGCCACCACCAGATACTGCGTGTCTGGACCAGGGAACTGGTTGGGGGGACATCCTTCTTCCTCCTCATCTGTTTCCTGTAGCTCCCGCTACACCCTCCTTAACAAACCCAAGGGCATTTATATGCAAGTGGGGTTTGGGCTCTGAATGCTGGAGATCTGCCTCTGTTGAGTGGCCCCCTTCAGAGCAGCCTCCCTAGGGAATAATAGGGTTGTCCTGGGCCGGGTGCCAGGGCTCTTGGGTTCCTTTCATGCTTTGTGACACTGCGGCTTTGCCTTAAGCCCCACAGGCCTCAGTTTCCCATGCAGAGGGAAGGAGCCCCCCCCTTTGCTGCGGGTTAAGGAGGATCCAAACAGCTGCCAGGGTAGGGGTGGGGTTGGGCAGGGAGGCTGGGAGTGACTCAGGGCTCTGAGGTCCCAGGAATGATTTCCCCCAGGCAAGTCCCATCACATCTTTGTGACTTGGTCAGGAGTTGCGGGAGGCTCTGTCCTCACCTCCAAGCAGGTGTGTTGGGTTTTCTGAGTCCAGGGGTGGGGCAGTGTGGGCGTCTGCTAGTTCTGGCTGCTCAGGCTTCAAGAAGCTACCTGAGGTCCCCCCTCCCTTCCAAGACTTGTGTTGAAGATTGGGGAGGCGCTTGGGGGTCTGCTTGGGGGCTGGGATGGGGGACTGGAGCTGAAGAGCCCCAGAAGTTTCTGGATAGAGGCAGATGCTACTCGTAAGTAGGGCCAGGGCATATCTAGCTGGGACTCCTGCTCAACCCAGTGTGTTGGAGCAATTTGGTGGAGGTGGTGTCAGTTCCAGAGAGATGACCCTCCTGCGGCAGGTACCCTCATCCTCTCTCTGTTCCCTGCACCCTGTCTGGAGCAAGTGTGGCTGAGCCACTGGGATTCAGAATGACTTGAACCTTGAGGAAAAGGGACCCTGGCATGGATGGTGATAGCAGCAGTAGCTGGTTCAGCATAAAGGCCCTGTGGTTACTCAGACCTGGGTTCGTATCCCAGCCCCTCCACCCTCTCACTGTGTCTCCACCGGTGTTCCCCCAAAGCAGAAGCTGCTTGTGTGTGGTGGTTTATTTGGGAAGTGGTCTTGGGAAGCAAGGGCACGGCAAAGGGCAAGAAGGGGAAAAGGGGAAAGCATGGGGCGGCAGGCTGGCTTAGTTCATGGAGCATGGGACTCTTGATCTCGGGGTTGTGAGTTCAAGACCCACGTTGGGTGTAGAGCTTACTTAAAAAAAAAAAATAGAAAAGGGGACAACATGACAAGGATGCATTTTTTTAAAAAAGATTTTATTTATTTATTTGAGACAGAGAGAGAGAGTGCACACAGGAGCAGGGGTGGGGGCAGGGGTAGAAGGAGAAGCAGATGCCCCGCCCAGCAGGGAGCCCAACGACGTGGGACTCGATCCCAGGACCCCAAGATCATGACCTGAGCCGAAGGCAGATACTTAACTGACTGAGCCACCCAGGCGCCCCAAGGATGCTTTTTTTTTTTTTTTTAGATTTATTTGTTTATTTTAGAGAGAGAATGAGCATGAGGGGTGGGGCAGAGAAAATCTCAAGCAGGTTGTGCGCTAAGTGCAGAGCCTGTCGTGGGGCTTGATCCCATGACCCTGAGATCATGACCTGAGTGGAAACCAAGAGTCGGATGCTTAACTGCGCCACTCTGGTGCCCCAGAATACATTATTTTTATGACCACCATTCTGTCCTGGGCAGTCTCCTGAGGAGCCTTATGGAATGCATTTCAGAACTGTCCTGTTGGGGAGAGAAATAGGAAAGCATTCATCCATCAGCACTCTTCCCCACTGGACAGGATGACTCTGTGGACATTAACACCCACATGCTTGCAGGCTGCACCTGTGTGAGACCCATGTAGGTTCTTGCGGGCATCCCACACTGCAGCCTCAAGGAAGGCCCCATACAGCCCTCGGGGGTGAAGTTTTGCACGTGAACCATGCTGCTTCGCAAAGGCTTCAGGGAGCTGGTTGTTGCTGATGTGGCTGGAGTAGGAAGTAGGGCAAGAGAGGGTTTGAAGTGGCGTACTGAGGTATCCAGCACGCTGCATGACCTTGGGCAAATTACCTAACTTCTCTTGAGCCTCATTTTCCTTATTGGGGGTTATAAGTGTTAAATAAGGTATTTATTAAATTTTTGGACATGGTGATGGGTCCTAAAATATATTTCTGTATAGTTGGGAAGATAGCACATTCTGGGGGGCTCAGACATTCATTCAGTCACATGGAGGAGGAGGTGGATTAAGTGACCTCTAAAGATGCCCCCACGCCCCCACCCCCCTCAGCCCCTGGCAGTAGAATCTGGGGCTCCAGGGCCAGACACCTGCCCTGGTCAGTTCCTCCTGGAGCTGCGGCCCCATCTCCCAGATCCCCTGGAGGGCTCTGTTGCGCAGTCTGTGAACTGGAGCCAGCACGCCCTGCCCCTGGGCCGGCTGCTCAGAGGTGCCTCTTGCTGGGCTTGTCCCTGGCAGTGGACAGAGGGAGGCGAGGGGTGTGGGTGGCTTGAAGCAAGTGCTTGGAGGAGGAGTGGCAGGAGGGCAGGCGCCGGCGTGTGGAGTTGGCAGATGGTTGTGGGCATGGGTCTGGGCCACAGTCAGTGGGGAGTTCAGTACAGGGGAGGAAGGAGGGGGAGAGAAAATAGAGGGCAGGGAGGGAAGGGAGAAGGTGGCCAAGAGTGAGGAGGAGCCAGGCCTGCGGGGTGGGGTGGGCAGCCTGGGTGCCTGGGGCAGGCCTCAGGGTGAGCGACGAGAGGTAAGGGATGACCTGACGGTGGTTGAGGATTAGTTGGGGGTCCCAGGCAGGCTTCGGATTTCAGAGTATAGCGCCTAGATTTGGCCTCCTCATTCTCTGCCCCCTGAGTGTCTCCCAGCCCCTCTCTGGCCACCACCTGCTTTGGCAGCCAAGATGCTGACCGCAAACACTTGGGTCCTGTCGAGGACGTGCCTCTGCCAAGGCCTTGTGTCGTGGTGGCCCTGGTCTCCCGAGCCCACCTGCTGTCTCTGAGAAACATGCCACCCCCTCAGGGAGACGTCCCTGGTGGGGAAGGGGCCCAGCCGCCTCGTGCTCATGCGCGGGCACCTCAGGTTCCTGCATCCGCCCCTCTGCCTGCAGGCGAGGTCACAGGCAGCCTGGGGGTGGGGGGGCGGTGTTCAACAGTCACGCTCTTCATTTACAGCCATTTAAAGATCTCTCTGACCTCTGCAATTTGGAACTCCTTTCGTTTTTAATAAATTTAGTAAAAAAGAAAAATTGGTAATGCTAGTGTATCCACCTCCTCCCTTTTTATTTATTTTTTATTTTTTATTTTTTTAAAGATTTTATTTATTCAGGGGCGCCTGGGTGGCTCAGTTGGTTAAGTGACTGCCTTCGGCTCAGGTCATGATCCTGGAGTCCCGGGATTGAGTCCCACATCGGGCTCCCTGCTCAGCAGGGAGTCTGCTTCTCCCTCTGACCCTCTTCCCTCTCATGCTTTCTATCTCTCATTCTCTCTCTCTCAAATAAATGAATAAAATCTTTAAAAAAAAGATTTTATTTATTCATTTGAGATACAGAGCGAGAGAGAGAGAGCATGAGGAGGGGGAGAGGCAGAGGGAGAGGGAGAAGCGGGCTCCTCGCTGAGCCAGGAGCCCGATGTGGGGCTCAATATCAGGACCCTGGGATCATGACCCAAGCTGAAGGCAGACGCTTAACCATCTGGGCCACCCAGGCGCCCCTATTTATTTTTTAAAAAAGGTTTTATCTATTTATTTGTCAGAGAATCAGAGGGCGCAAGCAGGGGGAGAGGCAGAGGCAGGCTCCCAACGCGGGGCTCGATCCCAGGACTCTGGGATCATGACCTGAGCCGAAGGGAGATGCTAAACCGACTGAGCCACCCGGGCGCCCCACCTCCTCTCTTTTTAAAGAAGACTTCTTTATGGAGCCAGATGACAGTCTCTTCTTGCCCGCACCTCTCTTTGAATGCTTTGGTGCTTTTCTAGTGGGAAGTTCTGCTTCATGTCTGATCTTAGCCAGCCATGCTGTAGTTGGTTTTTATTTGCCACAACCCTTCGGGGCTTCTGTACAGTTATAAGGGGATTCCTCTCCACCTGCTCAAAATGTAAAGCAGTGATAGGGGCTCTCATGGCAGGTGGGACACCAACGCAGGGCTTGTGCTCTGGGGGCTGAATCCCATGTGAAGGTCTCAGGGCCTGAATCCCATGCAAAGGTCTCAGGGCCATCTGGTTTCCCACCCCCTTCCCTCATTCCGGTCCAGGGCTGGCAGCCTGCTTCCTGGATTATGCTGGGTCTGCTGGCTGGGCCCTGCCAGGTCCAGGTCAGCAGATGGCAGCAGGCATGGGCCCCTGGGGGCCTTGCCGATGAGATGACTGGTAGTGAGCAAGAGCGGGAGGGAAGGGACCGGCGGCCGGGCACAGGGAGCTGTGCACACATGTCTGGAGGGCACGTTGCTGCACATCTCTGTATGTGTGTGTCCCTGTGTGCATTACTGTGTGCTTTGTTGTGTGTTCGTGTCCTTTCCTCTGGGTATGTGTGTTGGCCACCCACTGGGTGCTCTCCAGAGTCCTCAAGGGTGTGCCCGTCTGATGGCAGGTGATACTTGACCCCAGCAGGATTTCCTGGCCCCCTGGGTCTCCTGAGTCTTCTGCCCTGCCTTGCTCTGCCCTCTCTCCAAGTTTCCTGTCCCTGTACCTCCCTCTGCCTTGAGGAAGTTGCTTCTCCCCCACTGGCTCTGTGGGTGCCCATTGCCTATGGAGCCCGGCCTGGGAGGGATAACCAGTGCGTCTTCCAGCCCCGTCCTTTGAGCTCTGAACCTACGGTGGTAGATGGGTGAGCCCTGGACTGAGGAGATGAGTCAGAACGGCTGCAGGGGGTGGGCACAAGCCTGGCTGTATGTGTCAGCATGCTTCAGGGAAGTAGGTGTGCACACCACACACTTGACCACCCCAACCCCCCAGGCCTGAATATCAGTGCGGCCGTGGGAGAGCCCCCCCCCCCCGCCACTGTCCATGCCCTCTTCCCTGGCAGCTGTGGCCGGCACAGTTTCTGACAGGGAGCAGAGTGGTCTCGGGCATTCCACTGGGGCCCTTTGCCTCGAGTAATTCCTGTCAGCACAATCCTTTATATTTATGGAGCTCTTCCTGAGCCAGGTCCTGGACTGTACACTGCCCTTGTGTTAGCTCCTTGGCTCCTCAGAGCAATGCTATGACGTGGGTTCTGAAAGCATCTGTATTTTATGAGGAAGTGGAGGCTCAGTGGGGCTGGGTCACTTCCACAAGCCCACACAGCTAGTCAGCAGTGGAACCAGGAGGCATCCCAGCTCTGTTCTTGACTTTGGCTGCTGCGTTCACTCTTCACAAAGCTGGGCCATCTCGACCTTGCCGTCTCCCCTTCAGAGGGGCTGTCCCAGGTCGCCCTTTCCAAACAGGGCTCCCCACCCGCCCAGGCCCCTTTGGATCCTGTCACCTTATAAATATGGCTGTAAAGTGATCTCTCTTTCATCTTTCACCCCTTCTCTCCCAATCCCCCTGGGGCAGGGATCTGTCTTGTTCACCATTATATCCTCAGCACTAGCAGAGCCTGGAACACAGTAGGGATGGTCTGAGACCAATTCCAGTGTGTGTGTGTGTGTGTGTGTGTGTGGATGGGTGGTGGGTGGGTAAGTTTCCCCATACATGTAACGAAACAATTTTTGGACACCAACAGGGTATCTGAGAATTCAACTCAATTCTGACATGATCTCCCCAGAGATAGCACCATATTCCACAGGGGAAGGGTTCAGTCCAACAGATGCTAGTCACGAGCCCAGGTTGTCACCTGTATTCTGACCCCCTGGCTACACATCAGAGGTTCCCAGGACCTCCTCCTCAGGTTGGGGTTATTTGCTAGAGCAGCTCACAGAACTCAGAGAAACATTTTACTTACTAGATTACCCATTTATTATGAAAGGATGTAACTTAGGAACAGACAGATGGAAGAGGTGTGTGGGGCACTGTGTGGGGAGAGGGTTATCCTATTCTCCACGTGTCCACCAACCTGGAAGTGCTCCCAGCCCTGTCCTTGTGCCTGTTTATGGAGGCTTCCTTACGAGTCATAAATGATTAAATCATTAGCCATTGGCGATGGAATCAACCTCCAGCTCCTTTCCTCTCTTTGGAGGTCAGGGGGTGGGACTAAAAGTTCCAACCCTCTAATCACATGATTGGTTCTCTTGGCAACCAGCCTCCAACCTTTGGTGCTTCTAAAAGTCACCTCATTCACACAACAAGACACCTTAATCACTCTCAGCACTTAAGAAATTCCAAGGGTTTGGGGAGCTGTGAGCCAGGAACTGTAGACAAAGACCAAATAGATATTTCTTATACATCACAATATCCTGGACTGCGGTAAGTAAGCACGTATTGAGTGAATGAATGAATGAATGAATGAATATCTGAAGATACGTCTGCCTCGAGGCCCAGGCTCTAACCCCCTTCTCCGTGCTGTCTCACACAGAGACCATTGCGGAATGGCCAGGGGCTCAGGCGCTGGAGCCAGCTTGTGGGTCCTGTTCTGGCTCTACCAGTCTTCTGGTTATTTTATACTGCATCATACACTGCCCAGAAGCTTATGGCTTAAAACAGTGGCAACATTTATTTTGTTCAGGAGTCTGCACTTTGGGCAGAGCAGTCCTCATCTGGGGTGGCTCAGAGTAGGGGCTGGAATGGTCTGAAGGCTCAGTTGCTCACGTCTGGCATTTAATGCTGGCTGTTGGTTTAAGGACGCGTCTCCTGCCCACACGGGCCTCTGCATGGGCTCAGTCTTCTTGTCACACAGGCCACCTCCCTGTGTGCTAGTTTGGGCTTCCTCACAGCATGGTGGCTGGGTTAAGGGGCAAGAATCCCCAGAAATCGCTCGTAGAAGCTATTTTACCTTTTCTTATCTGCTCTCAGAGATGATGTAGCACTGCTCCTGCCATAGTCACAGACCCACACGGATCCAGGAGGAGGGAACAGAGATTCCCCCTCTCAGTGGAGGGGGTCAGTGTCACATGGTAATAAGAGCACGTGGGATGGGGGATATGTTGTGGGTGGTGTGGCTGTCTTTGGAAAATACAATCTGCCACAGTTACTTCCTAGGAGTGTGAGCAAATTACTTGGTCTCTCTGTGCCCCAGTTTTTCCATCTGTAAAATGGGGATAACATTAGCATATACTTCATTGGTTATTTAGCAGTGACTGTAGTTCCACCTACAGATCCCCCAGCCCCACGTGAGGCGTTGGTCCAGGTTTTCGCCATGCTGCAGGATCCAGCCCAAGTTTCCCACCCACCTGTGTGCAATACAGGCGGCACCTCACTGTTCAGAGGCCTTTTGAGGGTGGGGCTAGCAATGGGGAGGGAAGAGGGGATCTTGAGTGGAAAAGGCCTTTTCTGTCTCCCTATGTTGTGTCATCCTTAGTTAGCCCTGCT